TTCCTGTTATAATTTGTAGTCATTCTAGAATGAAAAAAGGCATAATTTATATATATTTATATATTAAAATTATTATTTTTTATGGTGGTTACGAGATCGGTCAAATCTACCAAACCCGTACAGATATTGGTTAGTGAAAATAACATATAAAATAAAGTATCGGGACATTATAAGTATTTTATGATGTGTAAAAGTATTTTAAGCTTAAAATGAAAATTACTTTGTATGTTGAATAGATATCATGCGAAAAGAGAAGGCATGAGAAAAACTGCTTTAAAAAATATCAAGACTACATATCTTATTTTTAAAAAACTTTATACTTATAGGATCCTTCATCTCAAATTTAAAAGGATTTCATCCACTAGTTTCATTTTTGTAAAGAACTTTCATGTTTTGGTTTAATAAAGTATTCAACACTTCAGCTAACCACACTGCCCTTGTTTTTTAATACCTACATTGTTACTTGCCCTGTTGTAATCTGCGGTATTACCTTGAATTGAGTAATAGAGTATTGTTGTTGGTACTCTAAACTTTGGTGGTTTTCATAAACATTTGTATTCTGTGTGAAATCTGTGGCCTGTCTTATTCTTTGTGACCCATTTGTCGCACCATCGGGAAATATATACCCATGTACGAGATCTTCGATCATCCTGTTATTCTAATGTGAGGGCAATCCTCGAGATACCACAGTAGATAGCCCTTAAATAGTTTTGAAAAATTATTCGAAAGCAAAAAAAAACAAAAAAAACTGCCAGTACTCTCTGTTCGTGAGCATGTTAGTTTATGCTGCATATAAACGTGTTATTATGTCTGTGAAAAAGAGGGGCTTCACTATGTAGTGTACACCATATTTTTCTTTCTTTTTATTTAAATTCTTTTTATTTTAATTAACACCCTACAAAAGTATCAGATTTATAAGAATTCTCATTATCTGGTGTGAAAATCAATAGGTTGATTCCTTTTAGCATAACTTCACTTAAATATATAGTCTTGCCCAAAATGTTTGCATATTTTGTAACAAATAAGATCATTAGTATTCAGATGGAATACAAATATACTTAGCTCTGTCAAACCGAGAAATGCATTTTATTATAAACCTTTACTATGTAATTTGTATAATAAGACAGATTCTATGGACATCATGAACGATTTATCAGAACAGCAAACCATTTTATCAGACATCCATAAAGGATGTGGGATTCAGCATTTCACCTATCACAACAAAACCTTACCAAAACATATATAATGACAAAATATAACATCAAATTATTATAAATAGCGTTTGTAACCTTATATCAGTTCATATTAAACATTCAGTACTTGGTCCTCCTCATATTCTAATAACCTTCACAAGGCGATATGACATGCTGTCGATGAGGTTATTGATGTAATCCATCCTGATTTCATCCCAACTTGTTACTAGAAGGCGCTGCGACTCAGCTAACAGTAGCTGGTTTAGGGTCGTGATTAGCAGTTTTCTGGTTCAGTTCTGCCAACATTTCTCAATGGAGTTACAATCTAGAGACTTTGCTGGCCATGACAACCTTGTAACATCCACTCGGTCGAGATAATCCTGTACAATATGCGCACTGTGGGCAGTAGCAATGTCATCCTGGAACACTAGTTATTGCCAAACCTTGTCCTAGCATAGGGCAGAAATATCGTCTCCATGTTGTATCTGTAGGAGGCGCCATTGACGTTTCCATGGAGGATATGAAGAGCAGTTTTTCCACCATGATGTATAGCTGCTCAAATTTGCACTGCACCATCTCCTGTGTGTTCCCTGTGGAAAATATAGTCTTCTCTCATCTGTTCTCTAGGCAAACGACAAACATAAATCCTGTCAGCAGCTTTAATAAGCCGGGAAATAGGACTCGTCTGAAAAGCTGACATGTCGCCACTGTCCTAACTGTAAGTTGGCATGCTGCCTTGCTCAAGTAATACGGTGACAGTGGTGAATTCTGGTTAATATCGGTTTACAGATAGCCATTCTTAAAAAATAACCTTGTTTGGTCAGTCTCTTGTTCACTGTTCTTCTGAATACCTTGGAATGATTGTGTTTATGCCATTCCTGTCGTAAGTTGTTGCAAGACTTCTTTCGACCATGACGTGTTAACCTGATGAAAACACGGTCATCTCAGACAGTAGTCTACTAGTAGATTTTCCTGGAACAACGTTTGTTTCATACAATTCCTGGACAGTCGAACAATTTGACACCCTATAACTTATGTCACGTGACGAGGTATGACTGTACACCAAGTACAAAGAAATTGTCTGAACAATGCATTGATTTGTTTCGGAAAAGATTCTATCAAACGCACACTCGTTTATACAAAACAGGTGTGTATGTGTGTTTTGACGAACAAATGCTGAAAACAACTTATACAGACCAGAATAACAACTCGTACATGTTTGTCCGATCATACACTGCCTTCTCTGTTACTACTGGGACATTTACTCAATTATTTCTCCATGCATGTAGACAGTAACATCAATATAGAACACTGTGCAAACATTTTGGCCAATAATGTATTATACATAATCTACACTTTTAATCACACTCTTCATAACAATGTGGCCTGGATTACTATAATATCTTTTTATTGTGTTTATGTGCTCCCCAGAGACACAGCGGTTAAGCCTGGAGGCTTATAATGCTAAAACCTGGCTTTCGGTACCAGTAGAGGCATAGCACAGATAGCCCATTGGGTATCTTTATGCTTAACAACAAACAAACAAATTTTATTTATGTACGCATCTGAAACAGATATCAAGAAGCGTTTTACTTCAAGTTAAAAATACGAGACGTGAGTACGAAAAATTATACTAATCACACGGTGTGAAAACTGTAAAAAAAAACTGACTTACTGGTACAATTCAGATTATTTCTATAGTTACTTTCTCAGTCTCTGTCTGATCAGCCATTAATTTTTCAGATTCTATTTAATTATAATTGCAGTATTACATTTTCTCGTATGACTTGTTGCTATTCAATCAATTCTATTTTAAATCATTATAATGTAAACTGTTATTTTTATTTTATTTTCAGTAACTTATAACCTATATCTCTACTTTGACTTTGTAACAGTATTTCGACTGCACCGACCCCTAGACTACAAACTGAAAACGTACACGGTAAGAGTATGCTTGGTGTGAGAGTGAAACCTGAGATGGGTCATATGGTCATCTGTGTTTAACCAATCATTGTTCGCGGAATTTTCCTTTAACTGAGTCTTAGTATCTTTTCACGGGGTGAAGAATATTCAGTGAAATCAAAGAATTGCAGTGTCTTTACTTTTATATTTCGAGTTCAGAAAGCATTATATTGATTATTTGATTCGAATGAAAATTGATGCTGAGTGTCTGATTTGTGTGAAAAAATATCTTGAAACGACACACAAACATATCATCATAATTACTTGAAAGTGTAATTTCTGGTAGTTTGTGGCTGTTCGGAACCACACATAATCCCCTGTAACTTGTATACATCCGCTTTTTTGTTTTTAATGTTCAGATATTTCGTTCACAAACATTCTTCGAAATGTCCAACAAAGAATCAAGAAAGATGAATGTCACGAATTATTTGAATGGATCGTATGAGTATCATGAAAACGAAACTGACCCACTTCTTGGTATAATTGTTAGGAATGAACAAACTAGTGATTATAATAAAAACCAGCAGCACAGAGTGAAGAAAACAGGTAAAAAAGGTGCGTACGTTTTTTGTTAGTTTTTGAATTTCATAAAATATACACCAGAATAATGTCATCTATAAACGTGAGAAAATACTGCCTCAAACAAAGTTTCTAAGTTAATTCTTATTTCAGAGCAATTTCAAAGTAATATGTTTTAATCAGAAAAAAAAAATAGTGAATTCTCTGTAACAAACTCAGATAAGAAATCTTCTAATTTCGTTTTGTTTGTCATTAAGCTCAAAGCTACACAATTGGCTATCCGTGCTGTGCCCACTATAGATATAGAAACCCTTTTTTTTGTTTTTCTCTTCTTTTTTTTTCTTTTAGCGTTATAGGCTTTCAGACTTATTGCTGAACTACTGGAGTCTCTTCTACCTTGTTAGATATTTTAAAAATATGAGTAGGGAAAGAAATCTCTACATATAAATAAAGTTCACATGAAATTGATATATTTCCTCTACTTCAGTTTCGATTGCGTCATCACAAGTATTGATCAAAATACTGTTCAAACACGATGTAACCCTCGGTGGAACTGTTATTTAAAACAGTAGTAAATATGGTAGAGTTTAATGTGAAACAACTAAAAAACAAAAACACAACGTAGTCGAAACCCCGAAATAAAAAAGTTGGAATCCTGTAATTGAAATCAACTACCTCATGAACAGTTTAGAGAACACTTGTACAAGGTGGTACAAAAATCGACCAGCACCATGACTTTTCTACGTACACAGTTATCACAACATAATGTTAGTCCTTCGTTCAGATTGCGGTTCTAGTTTTGTAACATGTGCAATGTTACGGTTTTTCAGGCTATTGCGATTTTCTGCTACACATTTTTCGTATTATTTGGGTGTGTGATAAACAAGTAATTTGCAATCCTCCTAATCACCAGTGATGTATAAACTATCATTTTCACTCTAATCATTCTTCATACTTTTTCATACTCATGCTCCAATGTCATTTGCCAATACTCTATCTGCTACTTGTTCCTTGGGATCCTGTAACTAAATTTGAGTTTTACTGAAACCAGCTCCTTGTTTTTTGTTGTTTTTTTGTGTGTGTGGTGGGGGGGGGGGGAGATCTTGCAACTCAATTTCTTGAGAATAGTATCTACAATTTTGAAGATTCATTTCACCTTTGATGTTAAACGTCTTATCTGTCAATATCAAGAACACCTTCTGGGCGAAGTTTTTACCAAGTTCCAGAGTACCATGAACCATTCACAAAACTCCATACACTGGTCTGGGCAACATTCTGTGAACTTCTAGGAAATGTATAGTTCATAAAGGCTAAATTATTATTTTGTTTAACACAATGAATGTTTTTTATTATTATGCTTGTTAACAAAAATACAAACAAGCTGAAGAAAGGTGAAGAACATTGATGTCAAGCGAATATGCATCCTCATTTATCCTGTTTTTTTTTGCGAAATCTACATCCTTTGGTCTCAAACTATGTGTTGTTGTCTTTCTTTTATATATTGCGTAATGAAACATCATGTTGATTTTTCATCTTCCCTGATACCTCCTCTCCATTTCCCTGATGTCTTGACGAAACCTTTCCCCTTGTTATTCGCTGACGGTATCGAAATTGTCAGGGAAATAGTCAATATGTGAGTGTAGGAAATGAACTTTCAAGCTCATATTACAACCCAACTCTTTGAATTAATCGAGCATTCTAGTGACAATATTTTCGTAATTTGGGTCTTTGTTGTTTCCTACAAAATTGTCAATAACATCTTTAAAGGCAATCCACGCTTCTTTTTCAACTTTCCTCATTGTCCTTTCGAACTGTTCACCCGAATTCAGTTTCATAATCTGAGACCCAACAAAAACCCCTTCTTTAAGTTTCGCTTCTGAAAAAGAGCTGGGAATTGCTCACATAGATACTTGAAACAGTCGCCATCTTTATCTAGGACCTTTACAAGCTACCTCATCAAGCCCAATTTTATGTGACGTGAGGGTAATAGTACTTTCTTTGTGTCAACTAAACTTTCACGTTCAATGTTTTTCGATCCTGGTTTTAGGCTGACTCTGCGTGGCCATTGCTTCTTTATACAGTGCTGATTTCGTGCTCTGCTGTCCCATTCACACAAAAAACATGAGAACTTTGTATAACGGGATTGTTGATCCAACAATATAGAAAGGACTTTTGAGGCTTCACAAAGTAGCGAACCATGTTTTTTGTATCTGACATTATTAAGAAGAAGTTTGAGATTTTCGTACGTTTCGTTCAAGTGAACCGAATGTGCAATAGGAACAGACACATATATGTTACCTATT